ATTTTTCTTTAGAAAACAATGGCCATGCTTGGATGGTTCACAAACTTTCAAGCAGCACTGTATATGCCTAGACATAATGTGATTGCAGTTTCAGTCTTGTGCAGCCCATTTTTCTCTTGATCATCTTCAGGCCAAAGCAAAAACAAAAAGTCAGTATGATTTTTTTTTTCCAACAGTATATGCCATAATCACTTTAATAACAAAGACACTTGGGAAAGGCTGGAATTTTTGTATAATTCCATCAGTTGTTCATCATTAAATGATTTAATACATTCCATGAGGGTAGGTAAGTTGATATCAGTTTGTCACTGATTTACATGTGTAGGAATGGAAATGAAAAGACCAAGCATCTCCAGGGATGTATTGTAATCACCTGCACTGGGATGAGAACCCTTCATCAGTTACAGGTTTACTCTGGGCTGGTTTGTTTCTTCTTCCTCCAGGTTTATTACTGTTATGGCCAATGCCTTCATAAAATCTTAATTAATTAAATGTATTAATTATGAGAAGTCATGAAACTCTGAGCTTGTTCTGTGTTGTGTATACTTCTCTCCTTGGGTGCTTGCACACTGAATATCTTTGTTTGCTTTGTTCGCAGTGCATTATCAGAGGAGGAGAAGACATCACTGCGTGCTGGTCTTATCACAAACTTCAATGAGCCTGTCAATCAGGTTGGTGGGGTGAATGGAAAAATACTATAACAGAATGCGGAAAGGATTTTCACCAAGTTTTATTCTGCACAAAACTAGCTGTTAAAAAAAAAGAAACCTGACTGATGAATAGACTCATTTGTTCTTATTTCTTCAGGTTTTATTTCCCTGTGGGACATTTTATGTAATGTCAGGACGGATGGGGTCCATATGGCAGGCGAAAAATGTGCTTTTAAGCTCCATATGTCTCATCTGTCCCAGCCGTTGTCCTTTTAATCAAAGCTTTATGAGGGTTCATGCATTCGAGAAGTTCCATAATCAATAGGAAATTTCTGACCATGCCCCATTTTCTTAGAAAACACCACATCCTATCAATACTGAAAAATTAAACTTGCATTCTTACATATAAATCACCTGGTTAAAATAGCCTTGTATGCATTTAACATTAATGTGGCTATCATTAAGGGAATGTATTGATGGACAGGCTGTTTCTGTTCTGTTAAAGTGTGAAGAATATTTCTGAACACAGGATCCTCTGTTGTTGGAATTGGGGATTTTTATTTTTGTATGAAGGGCCAAAAATGCTACAACCCAAAAAGTCTATAACCTTGCAATGAAAATGTATCCAATAGTAATTTATATTGTACCTAGTATCTTAGGCAACAATTGTATTAGATTTGCATTTGCAATTAGATAATTGTAAAAAAACTTTGATTAAACATACATTTATTATCAAATCATTACTGATAAGGAATGGTCCCATTGTCACCATGATAAATGATTATTTTAAAGTTTATTTCAATTTCTCGTCCCTTTGATTTAAACTCTAAGCATCACTCATTAAATACAGTTTGCCCCTGGTTGCGACTTGAGCCCATTTAAGGAGTGTCGGCCATCCCATCAAATTTGATGGACAATAACTTAACCCCACCAAAATAAATGTTTGAAACCCTAGATATTTAAAGTTTAATGATTAATTGATGTATGGCTAGTTATGATATCTACTACAATTCAAAGTTTGAATAGCTAATTTGTGCACTTCCATTTTAGTTCACTTATGACTTTATTTACCCGCTTGTTAAATATTAAAATGTATCTTTGGCTCTCTATATTGTTAATTTGTCAAGTTCTGAAAAGTGGCATTGATGAGAGCCTTTGTAATTTTTGGCACCTGACCTTTTCTAATGAGGACCCCAAACAAGCTGTAGCTCTACCAAGCTAATTAAAAGGTCAGACCTTTGCAAAACATATGCATGCTTGAACTTTTGCTTCAATGAAAGGCCCATAAAGAACATCTTTTTTTTATTATTTTGTTTTATTATAGAAGATCGTTTTCCTGGTTTACTCATACCGTTGAGTGATTATATGTAATTTTAATATAATTTTCTAAAACATTTCATTTCAATTTACTTACTAATCAACTAATCAAATGCAGGTTGATATATATTTTATTTTTATTTTTTTTAAATGGACCAAAAATTAGATGAAGATTAGAGACCTATGCTGACATGTCAAGGAGAATTACCTTGTAATCAAAGTACTGCCTCTTTCAAACACCCTGCAACCTGGTTCACAACTATTGTTTTTTTTTATATTTACCAGCAAAACAAATCATTGTCATAAAGGTTGGGATAAATAGGGATACCGATGCACTTCTTTTCTTTTTCTTTTTCCGCTTAAACCATCTTGTTTATGCCGTTTCTGTGTTGACATTACATTTTGGAGAGAAACAGTCAAGAAAAACCAAAACAACCCATTTTGTTCTTATTAGTTATATTGGTATGTTGGCTCAGTAGCAATGCCCTTATCATTCGCTTTGGCATAATCACCTGCTATGGTGTTGATGCTTTACCTCTGCTTATCTTTTTCTTTTCCTTCTCCCAACAGATAGCAACCCAGATCGCGGTACTGATAGCCAAGGTGGCCAGGCTTGATTGCCCCAGGCAATGGCCAGAGCTTATTCCAATTCTGCTCGAATCCGTGAAGGGACAAGATGGCCTGTTGCAGCACAGAGCTTTGCTAACCTTCTATCATGTCACCAAAACACTGGCTTCCAAACGGCTGGCCCAGGATAGACGTCTTTTTCAGGATGTGAGTCCATATTAGCAATACTACTTTTTGTTTTGATTTAATCAGCTGCTTTTAATGCTTATTCTCTAGACTCCTTTTTAGTTTTTGCTCTCCTTTATAAATAACTGTAATGTGACTTTAGGTGCGCACATAAAGAAAAAGGAGAACTCTTCACCCCCCTTAGTTTTATCTATTTATGTTGAATATCATGTGACAGTCTTCTTATAAGCCTATTTGTTTGCAGGCATGAATGATGTACTCTTTGTTTGAGCAGAAATCATAACTACATATGCTTTTCATAAACCAATACTAGAGAATGTGATATGTGAATAACAAGAAATCTGTAAAGAGATGGGATTTAGGCACATACAATATTGGAATAGAGATTGGAACAACAGAAGAAAAAGGATGCAGATTATTGGACAGGAAAAGGAGTGACCAGGACAGAAAACACTTTAGATGTGAGGCTGAGACATGAAGCCAAAATCTATGCAAGTTGTTCCTTTTACAGTCAACCTGAACCAACTTGGGGCCTGTTAAGTTGTGCAGTTATATGTTGATTACCTTGACATTGAACAACCTACATAGTGTTCTGTCCTCTGTTAGTTGGATGCTCTGCCACAGATTTCTGTCCTGGCAGGATCTTCATATATTTAATCTACCAGTTAAGCCAAATTGTCAGTATCCTTTCAAAGGGTAAATACTTCACATGCATTAGTTATCCACATGCTTTGAGTTGTGATGGACTTTGATCATGCATTTCATTTTTTCGCAGGGTGTTTAATGATGCAACAGATAACTTGTCTGAATTATAAAAAAATAAATTGGGTTATATTGGTATTTCCTCTAATCTACACTTTGTTAAAAATATAGACTTTGAAAAACACTCTAACAGTGATTAAACCTTCCTCAGCAAGCAGAAGGGAAAAATAAACCCGAACATCTCTGGCATAATCCTGGCTAGATATTTGCCCTCCTATCTAAATGTACCAAAATGCATAATACCACATCAAAGTGGTACTTTGTGGTTTCCTTATACATTGAAACTAATGAAGGATTTCAATTTGACATACTTTGCATCTCTACTGGCATTATAGCAGCTTTCAGTTTAATAGACTCAGGCTAGTTCCAGGGTTCTCCCTTAACATCCATGACAACTTAATTTTTGCAGAAAATCACTGCTTGAATCAGATGGTTGAAACCTAGATTTAAGTTTTGAGTTCGGAAGGAGATGATGAAATCCCAAACACATGAAAACTGGGCTTAAAATGCAGAAAAACTTAAGTGTTTAGAAAATCAAACACATTGAGGATTTCTTGGCTATGGTTAAAAGTAAGGTCTAGCCAGTTTTGATTAGACTGATAAAATAGCCAGCCATAGGAAGGGTAGGCTTGTTGTTTCTGGATCGCTCTTCTTTTTTTTGTTGCAGTACTAATTAAAACCTTACTCTTGTTTTGAGCAGACACCTTTCTCTTGTCTCTTAATCTTGTCTCAATCTTCTAAACTTTTTAGTACTCTTTTACGAATATTTGACCAGTTGTGTACCCAGAGAAACATTTCTGGGTTTAGCCTTTATTATAATTTTTTTGTGCTCTCTACTTTTTATTCTTAAGCCTAGGAAAAACGACTGGTAGTATGCAGGATGATTGATCGCTTGCTGATGCTTAGGATGCTAACTGTACTTCTTTGTCAGATGCAAAGATAATTAGATGGTGAAAGAAATCAGGGAGCAGAGGAGCGATGTTGAAGCAACCTGTGGGTGTGTAAAGCGTATGAGTGATGTGACTGAGGAACAGGACTGACAGCAAAAGGAATCACCTTAGCGTATAAAGTTGAAGGAAGACACTGGGACACCCACATGTGGTTTTAGTCTGTACATCTTTAGAAGTATTAAGAAAGAGGTAGTAAAAGCTCAGTCCTGCTCAGGTCTTGCTCCCCTACCTATGGTTTGATTTCTTAATGTCAAACCGTTCTTCATTCGACTTATGACTTTCCTTTAAGTTGGACCTTAATTCATTTCTTATCACTGGCAGGAGGTGCTGTCCTAGCGTTTCATTCCAAGGAGACATTTGCTTGAACTACGCTTGTAAAGCTCCACCCCTTGTTTTCTTCTACTTGGGTACATTTGATCATTTTTTTTCTTCATTAAATATCGTATAAACTAACAAAATAGCAACTAATCAGTAAAGCTGGGTGAAAAAATAAATGTTATCATGATTTATTTTAGGGATGCACGATATAATCGGTCCCCTATCGGTATCGGCCTGTATCGGCCTTAAAACTGAATATCGGACATCG